AACAACACAGGCCCAGACCGCCAAGGAAGCGGTAGCTCTATCTCCATGAAGAAAATTAACGGTGAGACGAATTGACCGGGTGGTCACAAGAGCGGGTCTATCACCAAACACACCCCAACGACGAGAGGGCGAAGCACGAACACTGCCAGCGGTCAAAGCTCCGGCAGCTATCATAGCCGTGACCACGGAGTCGGACACGAAGGACGCAGGAGACCCAGAGTCCAGCAGCGCCACTCGCGAGTTTAGAAGTGACTGTCGGTCCTCCATGCAACAGAACCCGGGTGGTGTAGGAGTCCGAGTCCAACAGGAGCGTGCCGCCTACCAGATCGGGCCCATGTTCCAGAAGGGGAGGTTGGTTTGCACAAGCGGAGGTCGATGCCACCAGATGAACGCCAGGAGCATGATATGATGAACGCCAGGAGCATGATATGATGAACGCCAGGAGCATGATCCCCCGGAGCGTCCAAACGGAGACAAGTTGGGTCTTCGCCCCGGTCCTCCCGTGACGACGAACCTGCTGCAGTAGCAACCTCGTAGATGCGTCGATGTCCATGGAGAGGAGGCTGCGAAATGGGGGGCGTGGGAGAAGTGGAAGCGCAGAAATCTTCGCCAGACAGGGGATGATCACGCAAACGACGTCGAAGTTCCATCAAAGCTTTTCCCAAGTTTTTACCGCTAGCCGCCCACTTGGATGAAGCGCTAGCCTCTGGAAAGCATGCAGACATGCCGATACCCCAAACACGATCGAAGGGGCTGGCTTCCGCAAGGAGGCGGGTACACGGCTCCAGTACATGATGTTTCATGTCATGGTTTTGAGCAAATTTAGCGTACGACCCTTTAAGCAAGATCTCTTGTCGACGACGCTCCCATTCAGCATAGTCGAAAGGACGCACGTTACGACCCAAAAACTCGTGTGTCGTAGGGTCGGTTGTAGCTATAGTATTGTCATACGACGTCATATCCCCAAACAACTTCGCTTTTTCAGACATCATAACTTGCTCACCACATGGATAACGTACCCCCAGTACGTCAAAAGCCGAAGGCATCCTGCCGCTGACGCCAAGTTTAAAGAGGTCAAGCCGTGGGCGGTAGCTTGCTCCGAGAGATAGACGAAGGTTCTGTCGTTGACACACTTGTCCACGACCACGTTGAGATGGGAAAGTTGCTGGTTATTGCTGAGCGACGATCACCAAGGATCTGACATGGAGTGGGGATCCAACATCATCTCAGGGAGTACACAGAGTAGTCAATTATAAGGGGGTAGGGGTCAGAAGGGTATACCTCCTGACCGACCCGCATGCTATCAACAACAAGATGTACCCTATTCATGCTGGCAGCCACACTCCTTAACACCCCCCAGCTAATAAACCGCCGTTTCTTCGAGCGCTTTTTCGCCCCGAGCGCCTTCTTCACCCTCCTGCCTCGTTCCCCCTCACCCCCATCCCACCCTCCCCCTTCTCCTCCTCCTCCCCCCTCCCTTCCCCAAGCTCTCTCCCTCTCTCCTCTGCTACGGACGGTACCGCGGCTGCGGTGCACGCAAGCTCAAGCTCTCCCGGGGGGGCTACGTGGGTGGGTTGTTACCATACCCCCGTGCATGAAATGTGTCCCTTTTCTATAGGAAATTATGTGGCGTCGGGGGGGGGGGGGGGGGGGCGTAC